AAATGGAGAAGAATGGTCTAGAAGTTTGATGATTGCTTGCAATTATAAAGTACTGATAAGGTAACTCCCAGAAAGATATCTTGACATCAGTTCTGTAGTTCTGCAAGTTTAAACAAATTATTTATGTTGTGTCCTGTGCATCCTTGGTTAATGGTGGCATACCAATAGCAGTCTGTTCCTGGTGTTCTTGATGTTGTTATTGGAGCAATTTAGCTCGGCTGTGTGAAGTAAGGTGGGAAAAGGGAAAAAGAGCTATTGAACTAAACAAAAAGACCATGTGTCCAAATCCCAGCCTTACCTCATCCTAGCTCTCTGACTTTGGGCAAGTTGTATAGCCTCTCTGAGCTTCCATTTCGTCTTCTGAAAAATGCAGATGATGATAATGATGGTACCACATACCTCATTGGGTGTCAGAGGAATGGATATAATGCCTAACACATTATAGACCCAAATACGTGTTGCATATTATTGGTTATGATAAATCCATTAGATTATCATGATATCACCTTTCATGCATAAAATGGGTACAACTCTTGTACAATTGTATTTTTTAATTCTCTGGGAGAATGGGTATTTTTCTCTGGACCAAGATATCTCCCCAAAACTCCTAAGGAATAAATGAGGTGTTAAGAATGCCATTGTCCATGTTCTTGTCCCTTTTATAATTAGAAGTAAAAAGCCAACCTTTTATAGAAGTACAATGCTAAATGACAGCCCAGCCCAAGGACCACTTGGCTAATTAGCACACTTGCATTCCAGGATTTCCTGACTCCCCGCTGCCACTTGTTGTCGGCTCCTTGAAACTGCAGAAATTTGCCTCTGCAGGTGTGGAGAGCCTGCTTGAATTACTTAGGGTGCATGAGAGAGCAAATTATTTAGGCAATAGAGCTGAAAATGTGGGCAAATTAGAATTTTTCATAGCAAGATTGTGCATTGTTAAGCCAATTCATGATTATATGTGTGCGTCTTGCTTCAGATATTCTGCTACACAATAAACCTCTTTGCTGCGATGAATATGTATGTGGACTAATTTAATCAATATACTTGTGACAGTAGTGATGTCTGACAGAACTCATCCTTTGAAATTCTGGCTGAGTTAATGTGTGCAGTATATATATGGGCCAAGACTCATAATTTGTGTTAAAAGAAGATTATTTTGAAAAGACACAACACTGCCTGTTAGAAAATGAAAAAGCCCGAGTGATAGAAAGCAAAGGGCAAAGGAATTTTTGTCCTCTTCTCTCTTCTTGGTCTGAAAACTCAAATTTAAGGAACTAAACTGCTTTCCTTTTGAAAAAAAAATATTGCAAGGCCTTTTTTTCCTCATTGATACATTTGAATTCTGTAAATTGACTAAAAGGTGAAGGGAAGTGGCTTTAATGCATTGTTGGATTAAATGGAAGGTTGAGTAAGTGCCCTGGTCCAGTCTGCAAATGTTTGCTATCTGGAAATATCAACACATGTGATCAGATCACATTCAGAGAGTTTGCTTTTCGGAGCAGGTGGGTTTTAATCATTTCCTAAAGAGCACTTGCAACTGAAATTGTCTTTGGAGATAAGAGAGCCAACCCAGAGGGTAGACTAGTAGAATAGTTTGATCTGACCAATCAGAATACTTGAACTTTGCTTTGGAGAACCCTCCTATCACCGTACCATGAGATTCCTGGTGAAGCTTTTCTAATTCCCAGTCTTTAGCCAACACTGTCCACTGGAACTAAGCACAAACACAGTGAGGGTCAAAGATCTAGGCAAATGGCCCCTATTTGAAAATACAGATCAATCTACAGTGAGTCCATTCATACTAAGCAACTTGGCCTCCATAAATCGTGTGAAATATGTCTCAGCTTGAGTGCCCTCCAGATCTGAAGCCCCTGGAAGCTAACGCAAGGCTGAGTTTGGGAGCCTGACTCAGGCCAGCAGTCCTACGCGGTAGTTGGCACTAAACTCTAGGTCTGTTCTACAGTGACTCTCCTGCCTTCCCCTCCACCCCCACCCCCTGCCCCTGCAGCCGGGCCATGAGTCATTCCAAGGGTCAAAATGCCAGGCCAGGATCCCAGGGCCACCCCCATCATGACGAGACTCCTCCATGCCAGACCTCCATATCACTTGCAGGATTACAAGGAGCCATTGGCAAACATTTTGGTCCTGCCTTAAATATCATCATTTCACTTCTCATGCATAATCCACTATGAACCCAGGCAGAATGAACAGCAATACATTACTCTCCATTTGATCTGGATAGTTTTATTCAGCGTTCCCGATATGGTCTGCCCAGGGCCTTCATACCGTATAAAAAACTAAACAGATGTACTTGATCTCTCCATTGTTAAGCTGGAAGGAAGGTAACTCTTGAAAGTCCCAGGTTCAGCACTGAGGTTGCTTTAATTACCTCAGGTCGTTTTGATGCCGAGTTGAACTACAAGGATTTAGTGAAGTTTGTCTGTGTCTGATTTCTGTGATTACGGTTTGAGGTAAGACATAAGCAGAAGCTGCTCCGTGTCGGTCTTTTTATTTCACATATAAATTTTGTTTAATAGATGGCCCAGGTACTTTGTGTTGCCTAATTATTCTGTTCCTTAGGGATTGGGGTGGGAGAGGCTGGTTCTCATTACAGACTAGTTAATTCCTGTGGGAAAATCCAGGCCATCACTCTCAGTTGATATCACCTTTCAGAATGTCTGTACCGCCACTTGGGTTTTGTGTCTCAAAAATGTTGGCTGTAACTCTCTCTCAAGCTGCAGACAACATGTGACACAAAACTTGGCCTTGACTATATTAAAATATTGGAGGGGCCATAAATACGAAGCGTGATTAGAGTTTGGATTTCATAAAGAATTTCCTTGAAGGAATCAAGCCACTAAGGTGAGGCAGACTTAGAAATTATCATCTTATAACACATTAATCTGCATAACTCAGAATAGACAGTATACAAAGACACCATTACTGAGGTATTGGAAAATTTATCCATTACAGAAAATATATTGGATGTAAGATTTTGTTTTTTTGGTTTTTTTGTTTTTTTTTTTTCCAACAAATCAGCCATTTTATTTATTTCTGTCCCTTGTTACCATTCTAGTTCAAGCCACAAGCACTGCTTGCTCACTGGAACCATTTCAATAATCTCCTAACTGGTCTCCTGGCTTTTACTCTTGTTTTCCCCTCAATAATATCAATCTCAACATTAATGGCTTCCCACTGAAGTCTGAGAACCTCCAAACTTTTCCAGATCCTTCAAGTTCAGGCTTCTGGCTTGGCTGTAAGATTTTGAACAGTCTCTGACTCTGGACAATGAAGCTCAGTATGTCAACACTAAAAGTGATTGACATGAGGGGTGCCTGGGTGGCATAGTTGGTTAAGCATCCAACTCTTGGTTTCCACTCAGGTCATGTTCCCAGGGTCATGAGGTCGAGCCCCGCATCAGGCTTGGCGCTCAGGGTAGTCTGCTTAAGTCTCTTTCTTTCTCTCCCCTTCCCTACTGCACTTACTCACACACACACATACACACACACTCTCTCTCCCTCTCCCCCCTACCCCTCTCTAAAATAAATAAATAAATCTTAAAAGAAAAAGTGATTGACGTGAAAAGGAGTCTTCCTCTAGAATAGCTTGCACTCCCAAAAAGTCACTACAGTACTTGTACTAGTCCTCTTGAAAGGAAGTTAGCAGGTACACATGGTTTATAATGAGGTCAAATCCAGTAATTTATTATATGCTATTTCTGAGTATTGAATGCAAGTGTCACATCAAATCCAAAGTAAGTGGTGGTGGAAATTATTCCAGGATATGGGATTACGCTGGAAGAAAGAGCAGGCTGTGTGTATGTGTGTCTTACTTATATTGTGCAACATATTCCTTGAATAAGTCATTGCTTTGTATAAAGCATGTGGCCTAGGGAGGGGCCATATGAAAATGAAGTATATTTATGCTCTTACAATTGTGTTTGTGTGTGTGATTTAGCAATCTGACATGATATCCATTGTGAAAACCATGGAAAATAAAACTTAGCATAATGGAACATTCCGTATAAACTGGCGAACATTGCTATCCTGTATATACAGCTCAGTATTGGTCTTTATTTCATATATAAATTCTATTTAATAAGTGGGCCAAGAACTCTGTTTCGCCGAATTACTCCTTAGGTTATTTTTTTAATCCTTAATTATGTTCTTTCCAACCAACCATACTCAAGGTATATTGTGTTTGCTGAGAAATGTGCTTTGTCATATTTGAGAACATGGGTATAATATTTATTAGTCATTGGGTGGTCTTCCATATGAGGCATCTTCACGGAAATCAGTAGAATAGAAGCATATGCATGGTGTACGAGGCAATCAGTTTCCAACATCAAGAACTCAGAAGCTACATATACTATTCATTAGGATTCACCATTATTAAATTCAGATAGGATATTAACTTTATGGTTGAAAGGTTTTGATCGTACACAAATGGACTAATTTTTTAACACATGGAAACTACATTAATTAAAAAAGAAGATTAAGGCATTCTTAACTTGCCATCATATGTAACTTATTAATATTTTGAATTGAATCATTTTCCTAAGTAGTCTTGACTTTCTGGAGTATATTTTTTTTCCCTACCAGTGGAGCTACAATGCTCAGCCAAGACAGATTTATGACCTTTTAAAAATAATGATGGAAAATGAGATCGGAGGAAACATTTTAGTATCTGCTTTGCTCTGAGGCCTAAACTGCGAGCTCTTCAGTTCTTGAAGGCTTTGAAATGCTGATTCCAGTCTTCTTGTGGGTTCTTAAACACCTTCTCAAATGACCCATTTTAATAACCCGAAAGCTATTATATAACGAGCAGCCATAATTTAGTCCAGGGCTCTAGGGGGACCCTCACAGTTCAGCAATGAATAGTTAATGCAGTATAATGTTTAGCAGGTTATTAGTTTTCACTATACAAATGCTGATCAGGGAACGCTTTTATAAGGTGTTTAAAAGAAAATGTAATTAACTGGTTGCGTGCTTCTGTTGCAGCTCAAATTGAAATTATTCCTTGCAAGATCTGTGGAGACAAATCATCAGGAATCCATTATGGTGTCATTACATGTGAAGGCTGCAAGGTAAGCCTTTTTAATTGTTGTTGTTGTTTCTGTTAATGTTAGAGTGTATCTTTGTGATGTTACTTCTACTATGTCTAAAGATTCAACTTCTCAGCATTTCGAGTGATGACAAATGATAGAACAGCATAAACATTTTGGTGTTAAATTTCAATTAAGAAAGTCATATGTATTTTCATGTCTTCCATTAAAATAACAGAAGGCTAGAGAAAAGTATTTGAGCATTCCTGAGTTGTCACTTCCAATCCTAGAATTGATTGAACTGATGAAAAATCCCTTTGGTTATCTTTTTTAAAAGAGAAGTGACTCTGGATTTCTGTGGTGTCCCTGTTCGAAGCTTTGTAAGAAGGTATTTCCAATAGTTTAATCGGGATGTGATTGAAAGTCCTTATTGTTGGCACACGTATGTTGATACATCTGGCTAAATTCTGGCAAAGCCGTTGGAAAGAACTGGGTTCTGGTTCCAGTGCCACCATGTGTCCCTCTTGTTGTAGGCTTGTCTTAATCTTTTAGTGACTCAGTGTCTTGATCTGTAAAGTGGGTGTGACACCTTCCTACCCCTTAGAACTATTCTCAGGATAGAATTAAAATCTGTAAGTAAAAGTGCTTATAAACTGTAAAGTGCTATTTAAATCTAAATATCATCATTCCTCTGGCTGTTGTTACTATTTTGATTATTACTGATCCTGATCGAGGGCAAAACGTACATGCACATGGATAACGTGGGAATGGGAATAGAGATGTTTATCCTAATCATTCTAGGCCTCCAAACCCAGATTGCCTCTGTTATTCAGATTTCAATTTATTAAGATTTAAATCCTCCTGCTTATATTGGAAGGGCCTTGAGACAGCTTACAGGATAAAACAGTGCAAAATAAACAGGCAAGAAGCTATTTAAACATGCAGACAGCCTCTGAGACCATTGATTGCCACTGAACCAGGCCTGAATCAGCCCTGAGGCATTTTTGAGGCCGAGGCAAAAAAATAAAATCCACGAATGTGGTTAGCTTTCCTTCAGTGAAATTAGAAAATATAATGACATAAAATACAAAATCACCTTCAGACACAAATAACTGCTGAGAGACTTCAGGGAAATTTGCCTTGTAATTTCCTTAAGTCTTTGTTTGACTGTTAATCATTGTAACATGTGCTGCTTTGTACATGTACAGATGCTTCATATTGATCCCATCTCGGTGACGCTTGAGCTTTCTGCATACTGCCAAACACACTTTTTCTTTGTAATCACCTGCCTTTTAGGAATAGGGGCTTTCTGCTCAAAGGGGATTTTGAATTCTTCATCTTTAGAACAACCCTCAAGTCCTCAGGTTCTAGATTACCAAGAAAAAAATTATGTCCTCTTACTTCCCTCAGTTTGCCCTCCCTCAAAATTAATCAATTAAGTAAATAAAAGTAAACAAAATGAAATCAACTGCTAATGCCATCCCAGGATTTAAGGGAGTGTGATCTGCCTGTGACACCTGTCATCCCATTGACTTTCAGAGTTAATTCAGCTGAAGTGGCTGGGCACCTGTCACACTTGACCCTCACCCGCTCTGTGTTCAAACGTTCTCGTCCCAGTTCAAGATGACACAGCCTTTCTTGGTGAAGGATATACAGGCAGCAGTGCCCTCCTACCAGAAGTTCCAAGCAAACTTGACTCTGTACATGTATATCACCTACTTATTTTCTTCCTTTTTTAAAAGATCTTATTTATTTGAGAGAGAGAGAGAGAGAACGCATGAGCAGAGATCAGGGGCAGAAGGAGAAGCAGACTCAGTGCTGAGCAGGGAACCCAACTTGGGGCTAGATCCTCGGACCCTGGGATCATGACCTGAGCTGAAGGCAGACGCTTAACTGAATGAGCCACATAGTCACCCCTCACCTAGTTATTTTCTTAAGTGGACAGTGTCCTGGCCATTAACCACATGTGCTTTCATTCTGCCTGAGAAACTGGCCACTCTCTCTGAGTCTTTTAGTAATACCATGTGTGGTTTTACGTGCCAACTAAAGTGAGCACCTCAGAACAGCATCTGAGGCAGGACCAGGGTGGAGGTGAGGGCTATTTCCCATGAAATACACAACAGTTCAGAAGATTCATGAACAACATGCTGTTCAATAAAATCTGAATTGTCTAGAACCACTGGGTTTACATAGGCAGAAACAATGTGTGTTTTCTTTTACCCCCACTGTTTATTTATGACGAAAATTAAAGCGATAAGAAAATAAAGGGCAGCTATTATTTTATTGTTGTCATTTTTCTAGATTCCCTCCCATCTTGTATAGCCTCGATGCCAAAGTGTATTTTGGCTATCTGTGGTTCTGTTCTTCTGTCCTATTGACTTTACACAATGGAAATCACAAAACAAACAATTAAAACTTAATTTTATTAACATATTGGGCCTCGGCCCAGCCTGGGACCTATACAATGGTATGTGTTTATATTTGATGCATATAGTATTTGCTCTGCAATTACAGTTTCCCTCTGCTATAATTAATAGTTTCACTTCTGGCTGTGGTGAAGTCAAGAGATTTCTGTTTTTGCCGTTGATGTTAATGATTTATCATGCTCTAACCAGGTGAGGGTGGTTATAGCATCATAAATTATAAATAATTTATCTCTGTGATAGGATCACTAGACATACGGAAAATTTCTAATTACATATATAAATAGATATCTGATGGAAAGAAAGTGACTCAGTCATTTTCTGAGCTAATCATTTTGTGAAGGTATTTTAAATTGCATTTTAAAGTCAGCCACCTGAAACCATAAGAAACAAAAGGACGTATTTCATTGCTGAAATGATTATTTTGCCACATATTTGTTCAGGTAAGCATTGCACATAAATAGTAAAAATGATGCAAGTTTGGTAGCTCTTTTCTCTAGTTCCTAGGTATTCCCAGCCCACCCTCACCAAGTCTCCTTTGCTACCTGTAGAGAGACAGTACTGCAGCATGCTTATGCTCTGACTTTGGAACCAGACTGCCTGGATTTGAATCCTAGTTCTGCTTTACCAGCTCAACCACCTGCCCAACCTCTCTGTACCTCTGTTTCACCATCTGTAAAATGAGGATAGAAATTGTAGTTACTTACTGGGGTTATCACATGCATTTAGGTAACGCCCTGAGAAAAGTGCCAGGCATTTAACAATCACTCAGTGAGTGTTGGCTGTTGTTACAATCATTCCTAGCCAAATTCCGTATGCCTGAGTCATGATGCTCTAGTCAGATATCATTTCCAGAACATGTATGGGTCCAGTCTTGATTTTTTGTGATCATTTGCTATTTGTTATATAGACTCTGCTACTAAAAACAAAAATATGAGCACCCCTTTGGGGACAGGTACTATATAAGTACTAAGAGATCCAAAGACAAAGAAGACCTGATCCTTACCTCAGGTGGCTTATGGTCTAGTTGTAGAGATGAGGTCTGCAAAAGAGCAATGCAAGAACTAAATCCTAGATTTAATAAACTGGGAAAAATTTTGAAAAGGAGGGTTGGGCGGGTTCAAAAAGAGATCCATACATATAAGGTCAATTGAATTTTGATGAAGATGCCAATTGAATTCAATGAAGAAAAGATGGTCGTTTCAAATAATATTGCTGGAACAACTAGGCATTCATATGAAAAAAAATTAACTTCACATTTATACCTCTCACTGAAAGCAAATATTAGTTTAAAGAGTATCCTAAGGACCCAGGATCGAATCCCACGTCGGGCTCCCGGTGCATGGAGCCTGCTTCTCCCTCTGTCTGTGTCTCTGCCTCTCTCTCTCTCTCTGTGACTATCATAAATAAATAAAAATTAAAAAAAAAAAAGAGTATCCTAAGCGTAAAACCTAACTCTTAATATTTCTGGAAGAAATCATGTATTTGTGTAACAATAGACATACCAATATTTCTCAGACCACACACCGAAGTTCTTACCTTATTTTAAAAAATAACAAACTACAGGACATCTGGGTGGCTCAGCAGTTGAGTGTCCGCCTTTGGTTCAGGGTGTGATCCCGGAGTCCTGCATCGGGCTCCCCACAGGAAGCCTACTTCTCCCTCTCCCTATGTCTCTGCCTCTCTCTGTCTCTCATGAATAAATAAATAAAATCTTTTAAAAAAATAAAAAATAACAAACTGGACTTAATCAAAATGAAAAACGTGTATCCTTCCAAACATATCGTTAGTAAAATGAAGAGGCAAGCCATATCCTGGAAGAAATAAAAGAAAAAAAAAAGCAAATACATTTTAAAATAAAAAGACCAAGATAAGAATTAAAATGAGCAATAACTTGAACAATCTCTTCATAAAAGCTGGACAAGGAACCAGGAAACACGTGGATGTATTCGCAGCATCTTTAATCATTAGGGAAATGTAAATAAAATCACAGCGAAATACCATGACAAGGCACCTGGGTGGCTCAGTGGTTGAACGCCTGCCTTCGGCTCAGGTCGTGATCCCCAGGTCCTGGGATGGAGTCCTGCATGGGGTTCCCTGCAGGGAGCCTGCTCCTTCCTCTGCCTGTGTCTCTGCCTCTCTCTCAGTGTCTCTCATAAATAAACAAAGAAAATCTTTTAAAATATATACCATGACATACTCATCTAAGAGGCTAAAATTAAAATAGAACAAAACAATAAGAACACTTCCAGTAACAAACATGATGAAGATGCAGAGAAACTGGGGAATTTTCCAGTCTTATACATCATTGGGGGGAGGGGGCACTGTGACGTGGTACGGCCCTTCTGAAAAAAGGTGGCAATATGATAAGCATCAACCTAACATATGACCTACTGACCTATCCTAGGTATTTACCCAAACGAAACAAAAGCACTTGTCATGTAAAGATTTTTATATGAATATTTGTAGCACTTTTATTCATAATGGCCACAAGCTGGAAACAACCCAGATGCCCATCACCTGAAAAATGGTTAAAAGTGTGTGGTGGATGAATGAATAAGATCCATAAGTTGGAATGCCTGCCTAGCAATAAGAGAGAATGTACTATATGTGCACAAA